AATAATCTCTAATTTAAAATGAACCGAATAGAGCATTAATTATAAATTGACTTACATTTTTCGATTTAAAAGAAGCCAAAAAATCATGTCATATTTAAGAAAGTATTTTAGGAAAGAAGCTCTATAAATAGAAAAGAAATAATGCATAATTTTAATAATTAATAATACAATAAACTTTGATCTTAATTTTTGTACCTTAACCGAATAAAATCGAATTACCTTAATTTTTTTTCTAATGTAATTAACGAAAACTTGTGAAAATATTTCATTCAAATTAAACCATTCTGAGAAAACTGTCCTGTGAAAAGTATAGCATTTAATTCCGTTCAGAATGAAATGTTGTTTAAAAATATGTTGTTTTCACATACTTAGGACTCTGAAGTGTTGTAGAAAAGAAAAATATATACATTTATATGTATATTTGCGACGTAATTACAAAATATTTACACCCGAACGCGTCAAATCCCATAGAACTCACAATGGTAAATGACCCAATGTTTTGGTCACCACGTAGGGATCGCCGGTGCTTCAGAGCAGGGTACGGAGAAACTTGCTTAGGGCGACTCCTTCTTACTTCCTACCTCCATGGTGGACACTGTGGGAAGACGATGTGGACATGCTTAAGCAGTCACTTATATTATGTTATCTCAGTATTGCACTCTTGCTGTACTCGCTGTCACTTAACGCACATTTAAGAACACAATTTTTCTATCCTGCGAGGAAACTAACTGTAAGCATCGATAACAATACACTAGATACTATGGCATGGCAAGAAATTTACGCGTTCCTAATCAAACTCCCCCATATTTATTGCCCTTGTTAAAGAGAAAGGTTTCCGCATGCGAGTGAGGGGACTTTACTTGAACGTCTCATATTCTCATGAGTTCGTATTTATAGAGAAATTATTACTATTGTTAAACTAAAACGTTAGGAATTGTAAATTTTTTTCCCTTTAAATTGTAGTTCAGTTTTATAAAAAGAAGTACTGGAGCTCATATTTAGGGCTCCGGTGCGCTCCGGCTAAAATTGTAATTTATCTTAAAAATTGCCGGGCTCCAGTGGGCTCCGGTGCAATTTAAGCACTGATTGAAAAGCTATCTGATTTTATATTATGTTAGTGAATCTTCTGCGTTACGCGTTTTATTGCCTCTCTCATGGCTATGGTCTAGACGAGTTGACGAACCGCCTCGATTTCCGTGCTGATAGGAAGGGAAATGGAGCCTGCAAGAATATTTAAGAAATTTTTAGAGGTCGTGCGGTATTTTTCATAATTAAAATGATGAAAAGCTATGACTGACTGATTTTGATATTTAAGACAAAGTCTTTCTATGCTCAATAAATATCTTATTTTTCTTCCTTGCGTAGGATACGCCCAGACTGCTACACTTAGTGGACTATTTTTTCAATTACTGTGACATAAAGCAATTTTTTATTTATGTGGGTACAGCCTTCATTTGTAACCTTGCATCTGCTTGAGTTTTCTTGCAATTATTTAAATTCTTTGCTTAAGTTCTTCTAAGTGCTGTATGCAAATTAATTTTTCATCGAATGTTAAACCAAGGCATTTTAATTGTTTAACTATTTTAGTCTCATTCCATTAATTGCAATAAAGGACAAAGGATTAAGAATGCATTGCTAATTTGACTATGCATTATGAATTTTTAAACACCCTTTTTTTTCGTCCTTTCTGAAAGGAATCTTAAAGTGACTCTTTTACATAGCGGGAAAAAATAGCTTTTATATTATTTTTCCGTTCTTTTCTTGTTTTTCTTGTCGGCTATTCTAAACATCTCAAGAAAACTCATTTTAATCATCGTAAGAAAACTCATTTTAAGAGGTATATTTATTAACAGGAGTCATGAAGAAGCAAAAATAAAGAAAACTAACACTTCAAGCAAAGCTCATAAGAGAATCGGTCTCTAGAAACACTCTTCGGGACATGATTTCCAGTCAATCAGCAAAAATGAAAAGGCGAAAAATTTTGGTATTTACAAACAACAACAATGGGATTGTGAATGAAAAATCAAATTTAAGCAAAGCTCATTCGTTGCTAGAGGTAAGAAACTCAGGATCCAAGATCTCCAACACTGGCAGTTCATCTTGCTACCTTTGTTCCGAAAAAGAAGAAAAAAACATGGCTAATAGCCTTTTTTTTTTTTTTAAACTACAACTATTATAGCCACTACATCGGCCATCTTGAATGTAATCTAGGAGAGCCAATGTAATGCTGTAATCTAGGCTTCAACCGCAAATTCTTTCTGTCTGATGCTCTTCGAATTGCTCATAAACTTACTAGTTAATAAAAAAATGTCAATAGACTTTTTTACCGTTATTTTTCGCTTTGATTTTAATTGTGTCGTTATTTTTCCTACACAGTCAATAATTTTGTTGTAATTCAGTTATGTTATGCTAATGACTTTCTTTCAAAATCAAAGGTGAAATGTTGTGGATAAAGTTTTAAACTTAAAATAAAATATTCACTTTATTTTCTTTATTGAACACGCATCCACTGACACATATTCATTCATTTACACATCTATGTAGCAAACATATTTCAATCCGACAAAGCTGGACTATACAGTATGACATTTCTTACGCTTTTGATAAAAATTTACTTACTAGAATTTCAAATTGTTTATATTTTTTAATACTTTGATACTTTGATACAGAAGTATTTATACAAAGGGTCTACTGCATTCGCAGTACTTCCCTGTAAACCTGATGTAATTCCACAATGGGCATGGTGATGAAAAATGCCAGAATAAATCCCATGGAGGGAGCAGTGAGCGGGAGGAAAAAGAAAATAACAGCAGTCAGGTGTGTCGCCCTCTGGTGGCGGTATATTTTTTAAATAAAAGATTACGGCATTTATATAAAAATCTAAATTTTTTATTTTTTTTGCATATTGTAATTTTCTCTTAATATTATTTTAAACAACAGTTCTGGAAATATTTTCGAGAAATAAGCATTTTAAAATAATTTATTTGTTTACGGTTCCTTGCTGAAATGCTATCGTCTGCCTGTTAGCTCAAATTGCTTCATAAAATATGATTCGAGAAACCAATCCAAATTGCTATTCTTTGAAACTACTAAACAATTGTGAGGAATTCTTGAAAAATGTAAACAAACACAACACATTTTCTGTTTTATTTCTCCCAAACGTACAAATTCTTCTCGTTTTTACTCGAATAGTTCAATGAAAATTCGCTTTACAGTAATGATAGAATGTCATACCCTATAAGCAATTCTAACAGAACCATAATAAATTAAACATGGAGCACACTTTCACTTTCAAGTATTGCAAAGAATTAAAATGATTTAAATTTTAAGGCCACCAGCATATTAAGCATCGCTTTTCTTTTTTTAACTTCATGCTATTCCATGCTTGCATTCGGTATCCTCAACTTTTTTGGATGGTCGCGTTTTAATTTCAGATATAAAAGCTCAAGAAAATTTCTGCTTAGTATACTCTGCACAAGCCCTCAATGTAATAAACGTTGTTCAATAAAATTAGAGTTATAAATTAGTTAAAATAATTAGAGAAATAAATTAGCTCTTTGTAAACTTCAGGGCGAAGCTTCAAATAAATTAGCTTTAGCTGGAATTGCCCTCATGTCCTTTAGTAAATTATTTATTTGTTTATAATTAAGTTCTTTTTAAAATTTTATTTAAACCATAATTTCAGTTAGAAATCTTTTAAAACACCTAGGGAGCAAAAATTGTTATTAGAAAGAACACCATGACTATTCTCGACCATTAAAACATTTTCAGAGGACCAGACACATGCATTAAAAACATTTCTGTTTTTCATTCACAAACACAACTTTTTCTCCTGGGTAACATGAATCTAAGTCAGTTTCCCTTATCTCTCTTTTTGAAAAACATAGCCTTAAAATACTTTACCGTAGCATAATAAACCAATAAATAAATCCATCATAAGCAATAAAACACGTCACGCTCTTCGTCTTACAGGCTATTTCGTCTCACCATCTTCTCATTTAGTTATTCTTGTCAGGCTACAGTCTGTTACTTTAAAATACGCACTTCAAGGTCGTAGCGACCTTCCCTTCTTTACGATAACAACGTGTGCAATTATGTTTATATAATTACGGTAAAACCTCGAGGGATATCTGCATCCCTGTGGAGAGAGTCGTGAAGGATTTTCTAAGGAAAACTGGCTTTTATACACTTTACATATGGGGAAAACCACGGAAACGCCCATGCAGCCAGCCCGTTGGCGGGAATCGAACCGCAGACCGAACTTTACCAGTGTTCAGCAACTTTACTACTCGGCTGCTGCTGGGCCACAACAACGTGTGTAGTCAAACAATCATTGCCATAGTTCCGAGTCATGGCTTAAGGGGACTGCACGTATTATCAAGTTATTCCTTTACTTAAAGTCTCGCATGAAGTAAATTTACAAACATTTACAGAGAATCGGAATTAATACCTGTAAATAACTAATAGTTACGTATGTTGACGAATAAAACGTTAAAATATGTATCAGTAATTTAGATAATAAAAAACGTTTCTAACGACATCTGTGTAATGTATCTCGGTCACTGATATCTTTTCTTTTAACATTAGATTCTAATAACTAACAGAGACCATAGTATCCACCTGAGTTAATAAATTCTAAAATAAAACAAAAACTAAAAAAAAAAAAAAAGTAAAATTTGAAGGAAAAGTTTCCACCTAATTTCAAGGAGCAGAGCATTTCGTAAGAGGACCCATTTTTTTCTCGAATATAACGTTTTAGTTAAAAAGACTGTATAAAAAAATTGCATTTTACTTTAAGCTGAAGCCCAAAAATGATAGCGAATTAAAATCAGTTTTCAACCGACGTTCTTCGTGTAATAACTGATACGCTACAGATAATATGCTAAGTTCCTGTCCATGATGCAAGCAACAAAATGCTCACAAAAATAAATTTAGCTTCCGGTTATAATACAAATGCCTTGCTTAACGTACTTAGAATAAAATGAAACAGGCAGACTTACCCGGGTCCGGTTTCTGTCCATGTTCGTAGCGGTCTTGAAAGGGATCAACACATTGGGTACCGAATAGTAAGCAGTAACACGGTTTGATTTTGCGCTATCACTATCTTGCCGGATATCGAATTCAAACATCCATGTCCTTTTTTCGCACTTGCTGGAAAGGAAGTGTAAGACTTAATCTCTACTTTCCGGAAATGAGAAAAGAGTGCTGGTTTTCCTCTCTGTCAACGACTCACCTTAAATTCATTGAAGCTCGGTACACACTAGAAAATGTGGGAGTGCGAAAACTTACGCAAAGTGAATGAATAGCACTCTTTACTTTTTTTTTTTTTTTTTTTTAAGTGTTGCGTGAAGTCTTTAACTTTCATTCGTGAAAGCCTTTTCTTTTACACTACAGGCGGTCTGAAGTATTAATGTTTACATTTCTATTCTTTTTAAACAGACGTTTTTACTTTTTGTTTAAGAAATTCCATAATTTCGCGCAATAAGAAAATGCTTACTTTCCGTCTGAAACAAAAGTGATAGCAATAAAAGTAGTAAAAATCGAAAAGAATGAATGCTTTAGTGAGTCTGGCTGCTGTACCGAAGGGCCCGGGTTCGAATTCCCAGAAGGCATGTTTTAAAATATAAATAGTTTCGAGTTTGTAAGATATACAGTGTCAAATGGATGTTTGTAAAATATATAGTGTCTGTGCGCCATGGAGGCAGACTAAATATGCGGTGAGCCGAAAGGCCTCTCGAGAGGTTGGTGGTAGGTAAAAAGGCGTGGGAGACCCGCGCCCTCGTCCCCGGGGGGTTACTCTCAATCAAAATTGGGAGCGAAACTGAGCAAAGTCATGCTATCACCTGTATTGTGCTCAAGGCTGTTGCCAATGACAGGCGCGATCTTGCACTTCTTGCCACCATGAATTTCGTGGGCTTGTTCTGATGTTATTGTCAGACATGTGAGATAAGACAACACCAAAATAAAGACTGAATAATTTATTTTCTTAACTTTTCCAAAAAACAAAGCAAATAATCGAAGAGATGAAAAATGTAATGACAATAACGTTATGCTTTTTTTAATGGAGTAGCATTACACGCTATGGGAAAATAGTATAGCTTGGTAAATACCCCAAAAAACAGAAATGCTTTAACAACACTTCTTAATTAGTTCCTGAAATAATAGCACTTCCTACAAAAATTTCTTTTTTCAGTTCAGTTTCAGTTTCTTTTTTCAGTTCTATATTTTACGCACTTTAGACAACACACTTGTAGCTGTATTAGCACATTGTGCTAGCACATGAAAGGAGATGCTCTAACATCTGTAACAGCTATGCGGATGAAATGTCTGTCGTTCCATGCTGTTAAGCTACTGCCTGACCCCACTGCCAGTATTTTGCCTTGCTCAGTACTTCTCTGACCATTTATTCCAAACACACATCACTGTTGTGGCATTACACTACTTGTTGGCTGTAATTCTTCGATAGGAAAGTTCTCCCTCTCGCATGTAAAAGATGCAGCTTCGTTTGAACTACGCTAGTTGTTGATATGCCACCCTCTGTTGATGTTGCATATTGACCACTAATTAAATGTCCACTGCAGACAAAAGACGGTAAACAGATTTCAATGCAACTTCACAGTTTTTTTAATATATATGGAGCATGCAGCCAGTTCGCATTCCACTCGCGTGTAATCACTTTGTAATTGTAATTATTTGCATGTCTTATCTCACTTTACATTTTTTCTGTAAGTTTGGTTCAATTTGTGTAATTTTTTCATGGTGCTGCAATTTTCACAAACATTTGTGTATATCAAACTATATCTGTCTGGGGTAGAATATCTTTGTGAAAGACTCTCTAAGAGAAACTACATATTTTTATTACATAAGAAAACCAAAAAAACTTTATAAAGTCACGTATACTTAGAATGGCAATATTCAATTTTATGGCTAATTTAGGGGCATACTCCTTTTCAGGATAGTTTCTGTTCAACTGCTAATTTTTTCATCTTTGGGTGACTAGAGATGTACAATCATTATGCATAAAATATATCTGAAAGATAATTAAATAAAATGTAAAATATTTGGCTAATCAAAACACTACCTTTATCAAACTCTTGTAAAATTTCTATCGAGTGTACTTATCTCTGGCTCTTGTGTTTTTGAATAAAAATATGAAGAATATTTTACTATATTAAAATTACTTTTCCATCATAAATTTTTATGCATACATTTTGCACTTTTTTATGCATTAGTTAATTTATAACTTCATCCATAGATGCTGTGAATTATTAGAAATTTTTTTACTGAAAAGTATCAAAGCATCTTCTTTTCATATGATGGCAGCTAAGTTAACAGATACCATGTTCTTTTCAATGCTTCTTAAGTCTACATGTTTAAGCTACCTTAAAAAGTTAACTTTGATAAGATTAATCTCCATATTGCATAATGTTATTTCAATTTATATGCATTTATATTTTCATCATTAAACTAGTTTATTAACATTATACTGGGTAAAGCTTGAATTAGTATACTGCAATCAAAATATATGGCATAAATAGTTTGAAAATTATACTTATCTTGTTGTATTTCAAAATACATCATCTTAAAAGCCATAGTTTAAAAGTAAGATTTCAAATAAATACTTTTTTTTAGTTTAGTAACAAATATTTTTCTTTGAAAAATTATACCCAAATACACAAATACTATTTAAGAACATTTTAAAAGATAGAAATATTTTTAGTGAATATCTATAAAAGAGCTTTGATTCTGTCGTCCGAAATGTTAGGAGCATGTAATACATATTATACGCGTTTGGAAAACTAAAGCGAAAATCAATGGGCATATTGGAGCGAAAAGTAAAAAGACGGAAAAACGTCAGTTTACACCAGAACAGAAGCTTCTGTTTCAAAAGTTGTCATCTAGGTATATTAGACGGCTGTTCGTGTCAGAAACTTGGAGGAAAACGTATTTAGTTTGAGTTTGAGTAATGAGTTGTTAAAAATTCAACAGAAAAACAGAGCAGTGTAATCATTGGTTCTTATAGTCACGTGATACTTGAAAATGACTCAGAAAGAAGTTGAAGTTGAGTCAACTCAGGCAGTCTCCCGCCATCGAAAGCTTATTAAGACTGGCCATCACTTTCCGGTAACCGCAAAAGTATCTTTCAGGGTTACAGAAGAAATAGATGGTGTACATAACATATAATTGAGACTCGCTACAAGTAAAATGCAAATAGTTTCGAGCATTCGTCATTGGAATTAAAAGTATTAAATTAAAAATCAAGGAAATTTCCTTTCTCTTCTTATTATATCGAAACCTCAGGATTTTCTTCCAGTTCAGTTATCTTCTATTAATAAAATGTAATACTGCCCTGCTCGTATAGTGGATAGTGCTAAAGTATATTACATAAGTTAACTTGTGGTTCAATGTTGTTAAGTTCCATGTAGTATTTTTATGCTTCTAGTTAAACTTCTTGTTTTGCTCTGATTTGCTTTTGTTTTGTTTCAAGAACACTTTTTTAAATAGCAATGCCGGTTGCCATCTCATCTGGGTGGATTCAAATGCTTGAGAAGATGTGGATATTTGTAGTTGTTTTATCCCCTTTCCGTGGATTAATACCGATACCCATCCCACAGTGGCGCACCTTGAGCGAAGTTGTTAGCGAAAAGATAACTGAATGACCAAGTGGATTTAGCCATTCCCAACGAATTCTTAAAGAGCGAGTACTCGGCCGTTGGAAAAAATATTTCCATTCATAATGACATTGCAGCAGATCTGAATTCATAAGCATCGCTTGTTACTGTAGTTTAGCATATATAACTGTTAAACTGAATGAATTTTGAAACTGGAAACATTGCTTAATCTTCTGTCCCCAATAAATGTTTTATTCTTGATTATTGCGCATTTCCAAGGTGTGCGCTATGAAATGGTGGATCCGAGTTGCTTGCAGCTCGTACGTTCTACGAACGTAAAAAACTACCTGGTTGATCCTGCCAATAATCATATGCTTGTCTCAAGGATTAAGCACTGCATGTCTAAGTACATGCCGTATTACGGCGAAACCGTGAATGGCTCATTAAATTATTTATGGTTCCTTGGATCATACCTTACTAGTACTTGGGTAACTGTGGCAATTTTAAAGCTAATACATACAGCAGTGCTCCGACCCTCTGGGGACGAGAGGCTTTCTGGCTTTCTTTTCTTTCTGGCTCATTAGCGGCCAGAATACTGAATATGACTGTTGAACTTTGCTAATTAAACTCGCATTAAATTCCAACTTCGGGAGGATTTTTATATTTTCTTCATGTGTAACACTCCGCGAAGGCATCCTTACCTAAGAAGATAATCTTCCAGCTTGTTTTGCTATACTCCAATAAATATAATCCAGTCTTCGCTATACTCCAGTAAATGTTATCCAGTCTCCGCTATACTCCAGTAAATGTAATCCAGTCCTTTAGTCATCTGTTACTGAAGCCTTCTGCAATCGATAAACTTTATAATTTTTGCTCAATGATTTAATTCTAATCCTCGATTTTTTTGAAGAAACGTTGCAACCATCTTTTTGAGAAAAATTGCATTAGTTAAACGTTAAAAAATTGCGTTAAAATATTGCGTTAGAAAAATTGCGTTAGAAGCATGCTGGTAGACTATCAAACAAAAGCCACAAGGAAATTGGATTTACAGAATTGTTATATTCAATTTAAGAGGAAAACATTATTGCGTTGCGCCCGTTTTCAGTATTCGGAAGTAAAAATTTTAAAAATTGTTTTACTGAGAATTTTGTGCGATATTAATGAGGCGTGTTGTCTCCCCGAATCACTAAAACTGCTAAACGCTTCCGCGGCATTGAATTTATAAGATAATCCAGAAATTCTGAGGCAATGATTTTTACTCACCACAATTGTAACACTCAGAATCACAGTGAAGGTCTTGATCTAGCAGCCAAATAACTCCCTAGCATTTCATGCTTCTTTCTCTAGTGATTTCATTTTGGATGAATATACCAACCACAACATATGCTTGATTTCCTTCTCCGAAAGCCAATCGACAATCTCCCCCCCCTCCCGAAAAAAAAAGAGTCTTTGGGATCACAGAGGGATTTAAAGGAACATAGGAACAAAAGTTTCAAATGAAAAAAAAAATCATTCAAAATAAGAAAACAGTTT